ATAATAATAATAATAATTATTATTATTATTATTATTATTATTATTATTACTCTCGTCTGTGGACAGACTGGTTTACCGGGTAGCTCAGACACAAAGAGACACATAAATCACATTATCATTGTTTAGCCACTCTGTTTATCAGGGCAAATAACATTATTATGAATAAAGTACTTGTTCTTCAAAGATATAAATATAGGCCAATCATTAAACTGGAACGTAAAAGATGAATTTCTTTGAGAGATGACATTATGTTGATGACGGTAAAAATACCAAAAAACAACAGAAATAAAATGATAATCATAATATATAGCAACAAAAACAATTACAGACAACCCCAATAATAATATTAATATTAACATTGATAATAATCATACTTACGAAGCAAGATTTTTCGTGAGCTTGACATTCTCGAGTTGTATTCGTTTTAATCGTATTTAATAAGAAACATGGTTTTGCTTCAGCAAAGTCGAAATTGGTTCCGAGTTTCAAACTATATTCGCAATCGTAACAGGAAATTGACGCTTAAATAAAAATAAAATATGAATTTGTGATCATCTGTACATTTGTAATAATAATAATAATAAGGATATTAAATATAACAATTATATTAATAGTAATAGTATTAACTACTAGGCCTACTACTACTACTACTACTACTAATAATAATAATAATAGTTATAATAATAATATTAATAATAAAAATAATTGTGTTAAATTATGTGTACTAATACTCGTACCCTTCAGTGCTTTTTGGTTTACCATGTGTTCAGAGCTTTTCAAGATTTTTTTGGCCTTTTCAAAAACCTCCAGATAAACTTTGCTATAATTGCGGCCTGTTAAATAGCGACTGAATTATTTAATCTTTTGGGGATGTGTAGACTCTCTTTCTGCTAATTACAGGACCGTAAAAAGCAGTTATTGAGAGGCCTTTTTTGAAATAGGGCAACGACGGCATAATAAAAAACAAACAAACATTATAGGCCTATTCACAGAAAAATGATTTTTTTTTTTATCTTACCATAAGTAAGAACAGACATAGGCCATGGCCATGCATACGATAGATCGGGACCAGACAAAAATACTCAGGTTTCTAAATGCTATATCTGACCACAGAATTTTGTACCATGATTGAACATAATTGTACTTTAAATCGTTTGAATGATAATATGATGTATTGCAAAAAAATGTTTGAAAAAGATTCATTATAAATGGCATAAAGATGAATTGAGATGCTTATTCTACCATGCATAAAACAGTAACAAGATATTTAACTTACAAAAAAAAATTAGAATAAAATACAATATAAATAAATGACTATATTTACATAAGTTGCAGGATATTATAATATAGATTATCTACGCAAAGAAATATAACATGCGATGCGTTAAGAAATACACACGATCAATATGATAAACTTACAAGTAAATTACTTTGCAGTAGCGGATCCAGGAATTCCAAATAAGGGGGGGGGGGGCAGGGAAAGACTTTCACAAATGGAGGGTCAATATCCTCTCAGCCCTCACCATGGCTGGTGTTGATAAGCATTTATGATTATACACTATGGATGGCCGAAAATGGCACTATAATACTTAAATTGAATATGGTTTTCTCTACTTTTTTCCACTTAAAATATAGGTGGGTGGCGTATTTGAATCCGCCAGTGCTGGTTTTTGGTTTTAAATAACGACCTGTGGTACGCTGGAATGGAAAGGGATCCAAAGGTTCTATCCTGTGCAATTTCAATATACTAGATGCCCAGAAAAAAACAAAAACAAAAACATGAAAAAGCCCATTCCCTCCTCCCTCTTGCGGTTCCGTATTAATAGTAGAATAAAAATATAATGAAAGTTACCTGTTAATGATGCAGTGACAACGATTAGAAGTAGAGTCAAGATTGTTTTAGGTTGCGTTGGCCAGTGACGATTCATAGTACGGTAGGTCTTATACAAGAGCACTTTCATATTCAAGGATACAAGTTTACGAAGTCTACTTTATTTTCTTCACAACATTTTCAGCATTTTTCAGTGTTGTCTCATAAAAGCAAAATTTTCAAAAACGGGTACAGGTTGAAGTTAAATGGAAAAAGCCTCACGAGCGCTTACTCCAATCCCAGAAGAGGTGAAATAGGCCTATCTTCAAATTTAGCTTACAATCCACAATGTTAAAAGGAAAGACTTCAAGCGAAATCAAGAAGTTTTTGTCGCCAGTATGATTTTTTTCAGCTGATATCTGTAACACATGAAAAATAGAACACATGAAATTGGAACACATGAAAAATGGAACACATGAAAAATCATACTATGGAAACTCTTAGTTTGGCATATCTCAAACGCTTTGACACTAACATGTGTAATGTGAAGCGCTTAGAGGCATTGTGCATGAAGCGCTATATAAGAACAACATAATTATTATTATTAACAAGGGCTAATATATATCTGAATACATTATATATTACATTACATCTATTTTGTAAATAATCCACAACAATAGGCCTATTCATTAATATAGTTACTACTATGACTTGCTACTTTACAGTACGAAATATTCATGTTTTAATTGCTCAAATGGATCATGTAAAAGAAAGCTCATGAGTGGTTTTAGATCAAACCCAAAAGAACATAATCTCTATGCCTACCTGCTTACAGTAAAGAAAAGATTGTAGAATCATGACGAAGTCCTCGAAAAATATAACAATTTAGGGTTTTAGGCTTATCTCGATTTTATAGTCTACATATGCAGAAAATACATATAATATTTTGTTCTCCCCGACGAATTGTGAGTTTTCTCCCCGTTGATGAGAGGAGAGCTCTCATCAACAGGGTGCTGCCCCCCCCCCCCAACGTCGCCACCCTAGTCTGGACTAATCTGCAAATGTCTTCATGTGTTTAAGTTTTAAAAAACCAGTTTCTATTCTAATAGTTGAAAACGAATTGATCATTAATAAAACATAAATACACAGTAATACTCTAAACTATGAGCGAAAACTTACAATTCAAATGATAATATTTGTTACCGTATCAATTCCAATGCGCAGTTATGATTTCGCTTCAACGTAGTCAAAATGCACCTTCATGCGATAAAGGTCCAAAGGTACTATAGAGCGGATAATGTAAGCATATTTCATACTACTCCTCGCGTCATCATAACTACAACGTTCAGTTTACCATGCCAATGAATTCATCATTTAGATTTAAAAGCCTTGGTTGATTCTTAATGGAATCGTCAACAGAAGCATTGCAATCAACCAGATTGGTGGGATGCTTCTTGGCATTCAATTTCTCGTCTGCCGGCGCACTATTTAATAAAGTTAATTAATCATTGTTGAATAGAAGTCTAAAGCAATAATAGCGGATTGCATTGGTTCTTCGTTAATAGTATGATCGATATTAATCATGCAGTCTAACACAATATTTTCAGATCAGCTAGGAGAATGCCAAAAATGATCGGCTGCGTTTTAGTTTATCATGTTTCTACGAATTGGAATGACCAAGTCATGATCATAGAAAGTTCAAATAATGAAATTTAATCTAAATTAACTGAGATATTCTGGCTGTAGGCCTACTTTGCCTTTATGATGACGATAGGAAAGGTGTAATTTTATTGATAGCCTGGTACTAATAAATAGAACGATAGCCTGGTCGACCAATTTGCGGCAAGGGCCAATAGGTCTACTCTGGAACCATGGCCCCTGGAATCTAGGTACGTCACTGCTTACAAGGCCTATAAATGAGTCAAGCTCATTATTAGGTTTGCTCTTGTAAGGTTCATTATTCAAGGTTCTCGCTATAGTTACAGCTTTTCCGTAACTCCAGATAATAATAAGGATGATCGCTACTCATAAAATAATTATAAGGACTATTATTCATAAGGTACACTAGTGTCATAATTCTATAAAAGGACCTATGTTCATAAGGTTCGTCTAGGTTTCGAGTCCCTAAACTGATTGTTTAAAGTGAACACATATACTCATTAAATTCGAGTAAGCCTACTATTCACCTGTTTGATCCCATATCCTGTTTTTTTTTTTGGTTTTTTTTTAGTCAATGTTTCAGGGCGGAATTGATTACTAATGTATTATTAGGCCGCGTCTACAATTTATTATCATAAAAAGGTGGATACAACATTATACCGTAGGCTTAAACACCGTAAGGCTACTTTTTACTAATTAATTTATTTGCCACACCTTGCGAATAAGTTCCGTGAACATAAACTGATTATTGTTAAATTATCAGTACCGTAAGATATATAATATCAGCAGCATTATAATAATCCGCGTGGACTGGGGTCTAGACAGCTAATCACTATATTATTAACTCTCGGGCACCCAGGATTATCCGACGATTGACCGGCGGTGACCTTTCCTAGGCATTCGACACTATTTCTACCCCTCCTCTTATACGGTACTCCTACACTTTTGGATTTCGTAGGAAGTCGGCTTTACCCACCAGAACCAGAACCACGTGGCTTTACCGGAGTAAATTTGGTTTTGATGAAAGAAACCAACCATTATTGAATACTCGTTGCGTCGGTGGTATGACACACGATATTGAGAATATGGCTATATTATATATAAATAATATATTAATACATGTGAACACTGTGTGTCTTTTCTAATTTGAAGAAGGCTATATTTCTAAACTGAGAATCAGCACGTGTAAAAAATAATACAATTGGAATATTATAAATTACTAAGTGTGAAATAATGATAAAAATAATTGTAGTACAGCGAAGAAAGTGATGGATGGATGAATGCCAGTGAGATGTTTGTCGCCCTCTTCATTTGTAATTGTAAAAAACAGGAGTATACACTCTCGTACAGAAAACAATCAGTGAATGCGAAAGCGAGGCAAATTGTCGATGTGGTTGTTATCGTCGTATCCTGACGTATGTTTCTAAATTTATTAATTCCGGTAGTAACAGCTATTTCACTCGAAATACAAGTGGAATCTTCACTTTCTTCGAAGGCATTGTATGTATATATATTTTAGTTTATTAGATTTTAAAACTAACATTATTCAGATTTGCTAGGCCTGTCATTCGTCTTACGCTAGGCTTAGGCCTAGGCCTAACCCTAGTCTTAGGCCTTTGCCTCGTTACATCCTTAGGCCTACATGCACCACCTAACAACCTAATAAGGCTAGGGCTCCTCCTAGGCTATGGACCTAGCTAGTAAGTAGCCTACTTAGGCCTAGGTCTGAAAAGGCCCTTGTTTATATATCTGATGGTGGTAGGTCAGGCTGGCACTAGCAGGTTACACTGATGACTGGTTATTAAATAATTAATGAATTAAAAGCAACAGCTTAAAAATGGCCCAGTCAATAAGTTAAAGTATTGCCCATCCTCTGGACCCCAACCTCAAACAAGGCAAAAGGGGGCTTCTTCTGATATGAATCACTCTTCCTACAGTATTCTATGTCACATGGCTCCTGTTTAGTACTCCCTGTTGAAAAGCTTTACCCACTGTAAATATATCATCAGCCTATGAATGACCATGGTGTTTCATGACAATTTTATTTAATTTTAAAATCTATTCATTTTAATTTCTTGCAGGTACTGTAAAACGACGGAAATCAAACACAAAGGGACCATAAATTAACAAATTGGAGGATATACTAATATTACCGTATTGAAAGTGCAAGGAGATACTGCATATCCACTGCACACTGAATTAAATATTTTATTTAAGTACATTAGTAGTAGTTCAAAACCACTGCTGTTCAGTTTTTAACAATGAAGATCTACTCATTAACTATCCTGCATAAAGGCTCCACTAAGGTATTGACATTCAAAGCAGCCTATGATCTTTCATCGTTTGGGTATTTCCAACGGAAAAGGTAGGAGCTCAACCCATATTTCTCTTCTTAATTATTTATAATTATTCAATTTATTTCATAACACTTCCAAGATGGAAAAAAGATCATAAAAACGTCAAAATACAATTAAAAAAACAGGACGCATGCTAAAGGCACATTTGCCTTTGTCGTAGTTACATAGCCACAAGTCCCACTCTGGAGGACCATTACCACAGGATTGCAACTTGCAAGACTGGGCATAGACTTAGGGAACTATACAATTTTTTTTAAATTTGTTTATCTTATTTTATTTTTTTTTTGCATTGGTGTAGGATTAGCACATGCCTTGTTAATACAGTATGTGTAGTGTTGGGTAATGGTAATACGGAATTATATAAATTGAAAACTAGAATTCTATATTCAAACTGTTTTCTTTTATTTACTGTAGTTTATAGCTTCAAATAAGAATGGACAAAAATTGTCCAGGTTGCAAATTAATGTTCAACATAAATACCTTTCCCATTTTCTTTTGTGTAAACCATTAGATCATGTTTATATTTACTGTAACTAATCAATAGCATTTTCATAGTGAATTCTATAAACCTGCAAAATTCATTTTTTTAAATTTTTGAGCATCCTTAGAAGTTAATAATTTATTTGGTTGTTTGACATTATCCAATGTTTATATTGATTTTTTATTTTTTTTTTGAAAACATTTTGATATCTTAAAATTGTAAATACCATAAGCTTTCTATTCACTGATTGGCTGAGTTTTATTTTTTATATTTTTATAAATAATTATTGAAGTTACAATCGAATTAATTAATTTTTCATGGTTTTTATTTTGTAAACATAGTGTTCAGGAATTTATGCACTTTACAAGCCAGATCATTGTTGAAAGGACTCAGCTTGGACTGAGAACATCTGTGAAAGAACAAGGTAAATACCATCTTCTGGCTTTATTCCCACTTTAAGTGGGGTTACCATTTTCCACATATTTCTGTATGTGGGAGACGCCCTATCCTTGGTGTTTTTCCTTTACGATCCACATATTGTGGTGAATGTTTTTAGAGCTGGATGCCTTTCCTGTGGCCAACTGGTCGAACTCCTAAGACTATCGCCCGATCAGCCAGATTTCGTTCTTTTAATTCTGACAGGAGGGCCAGTACCTCCACCTCACACTAGGGCAGTTGCTCTAGGGTAGGTGATCAGTCGCTGGGGGCTCAACCATGAAGCAGATTGCACAGGATTACATAGTGAACGGTGGCAGTCTCCTCACCTACCTTGATCTGACCAGATTTTGGTACACCTTATTCACCTTTTGCTTGAAAGCCAAATACCAATGAATATTTTCTGTAAGTTTTGTTCTTCATGATTTAAAACTTGAACCTAGATTCATATTTTTTTCACAGATTACCTTTGTCATGCATACATACGTAATGATAGTTTAGCTGGTGTTTTGATCGCAGACCATGAATATCCAAACCGTGTGGCTTTCTCCTTGATAAGTAAAGTCCTGGACTCCTTTGCAGCACAAGTGGAGCCAAACATGTGGCATAAGATAACAGAAAACAATGCAGACTACTCAGGATTAGACGAATTTATAACAAAATATCAGGTATTTTAAAATTAAAAATACTAACATTTGTTATTTTTATTGTTTCAAACCAAATTCATAAAAGGTTACTCTTCCATCTTATTGTACAAGAACAGCTGCTATTCAGGGGAGGGGGGGGGCCTCTGGAAAAAAATCAAGTAATGTGAAGTTTTATAAAGTACTGTCAGTAGTTCTCATTCTGAGGCATAGTAGTCAAGATGTTTTGGAGTCATGAGTAGATATCCTCTGCCGACAGAGGATTTGAACCCAGGACCCTGGAATTGAAAGGCAAGCACGTTTAGGTGGCTTAAAGAGTGGAAAAAATTGGTATAAATAATATTATTAATTTTTGATATTTCCAACTGAATTATGCAAGGCTAATCTTCCAAGTGATACTATTTTATGAGATTATAAATGTTCACCAAAACCTTATTTCCCCTTATTTAAATTGCTTTCATTCATACTAACATTTTAGTAGCTTCATTGCAGTAGTAAATTTGCGTGTTAAGTATCTGTCTCTTATACACATCTAGATGTGTATAAGAGACAGGTTGAGACCTTTGTAAGACCTTTCAGATTTCTGGGAGACTCCTACAACTTGTAGAAGACTTGGAACCCTGGCATGAACAACTCTAGATGCCCTGAATTGGCACTCTCGAGAATATAATTTATAAAAATCTTTTTTAAAGCAGTGTTTCCTGGCAACATGATTAGATTCTTCCTCGATGTAGGTTCCAGGGTTCCAGATTTGGGGGGGGGGGGAATAAAAAAGAAAGGAAAAAAAAAATAAAGAGGAGCAATATTTGCCATTGAAAAAATATTTTCATCCCATACATTTATTCATATACTGTACCTAGGAATTATCATGTACTGTGTAAGTTAAGTTGATTGTAATTCTTAGTACTTTAATTTTTATTAGTTATTATTAACTATTAAAAACTGTTGCAGTATTTACTTTTATTTACGTTTTCACAGCACAATACTATAGAAGCAGTTCTACAGAGGGGAGAAAAACTAGACGACTTAGTATCCAAATCAGATGACTTAAGTTTACAATCAAAAACATTCTACAAAACAGTAAGGTTGCAATTAGTAAAGTAAAATGAATTTGTAAGATTTTCCCATTAAATGCTCTTCATCTTGATGTAAAAATTAATTTACCATTATTTTATCAAATTACATGTACAAAGATTTAATTGTAAATGAAATGCAATTAATCTTTATTGAAACATTAAAATATTGTTATGGTAATATTTACCATTTTGTCTATGATGTTATAAGAACAAGCATTTATTATTTATATTAAATTATTATTAAAAAACTGACTCATGTTAAAAACTAACTCATTATGAAAACAAGTATTTATTATTTATTTTAAATTATTATATTTATATTGTAAATAAATAAATATTTATTTTTTTATTTATCAAGCAAATTATAAATTTCATAAACATAAAAACAAGTATTTATTATTTATATTAAATTATTATATTTATATTGTAAATAAATAAATATTTATTTATTTTTTTATTTATCAAGGCAAGAATAACTCATGAAAACAAGTACTGTATTTATTATTTATATTAAATTATTATATTTATATTGTAAATAAATAAATAAATATTTATTTTTTTTTTTATTTATCAAGGCAAGAAAAACTAACTCATGTTGCGTTATACAGTAACCTCAAATGCTACACCAGGCAGCTCGCTATTCCTTGTCACCTTTCTCATCGGAATTTCTGATGATTTAAATCCCAGGAATTCCGACAGAATTTTTTAGCTTGTTGTCATGCCGACCTGGCAAAAGACCTCAGTTCCCAGTGACAATGATGTGGTCGAGATGGAGCACCGTCTGCGGAGTACATGCTGGGGTATCCAATGATGAATTTGTATGAATCGGCTAGTATCGTTTAAGTCCTTGGGAAGAACTAGACGCTCTAGTTAATGTAAAATGGTCACATTTAGTGTTTATTACCCACCATGATGTTACTGTTACTCCAACACCCGCCCCCCCCCCAAAAAAAAATTTAAGAATCAAAATGTATATATTTTGATGTTGAGAATACATATTTTTAAGCTTAAATGTGGCAGCTGTGTGTGTTTCACTTGATAATGAATTGTGAGCCTTCATTAAAATTAATCCTAAAAATGTAAAAATCCTGTGATTCGATATGAGGCAATGCTACCTAGGCACACCGTATATTCTCACATATAAGACCAGGCTTAAAATAGAAAATTACGATCAAAAAAGAGGGGGGTCATTTTATACACATAAAACATAACAATTTTTTTGAATCATGTTTGTCTTATTGATGTTATTGATGTTTGTCTTATTGATGGATCATCTGTAACATGTGAATTTACTACTGAAATGAAGCTACAATAATACTAACGGTTAGTATGAATGAACACAATTTTAAATGTGAGGAAATGAGATTTCAATGAACATTTCAAAGCCCATAAAATGGTATAATTTTGAAAATTGGCCCTACATCTGACCCTGTCCTTATTAGCCACCTGTGCAGTATGAAGACCATAAAAAGCGGCAGAAAGTAGGAATACCAATGATGAAACCAGGGGTCATCTTTTATGCACGACATAAAAAAATTGTCCAAAAATCTTCTCAAACTTGGCGGTCGTCTTGAAACGGGGATCGCCTTATACGCGAGTATATACGGTACTCATTGACCAATCATGATGACTATCATCAAGTCTAACGAAATGTTTAATCACAACCGTAATCTCAGGAGGGTAATAATTGTGTTTTGTATTAGCCTATGTCTTTTTTATCATGTTTACGTACGCAAAAATGTAGATTTTGCCAGCTATTAAATACTCGTATGGTTAGGGTCGGAGTACGCCCTCACAATTCGTCACGGAAATACAGTATATTGATGATGAAATAACTCGAGACTAATCAAAGCTGCCACTCAATGTATGCTGATTGATGTGTCTTGATGTAAATGGTGCTACAGATGATGGAATAATTGAATGTTTAAACAATTCCGGTAGCTAACATTTTCAATAGATCTTCCGATGTCAAAAGAATATATTCTCAGAGTAGGTTTTTTGAAATACAATGTGTGTGTTCAGGATATGAGTCAAAACAAGAACAGGATGTAGGATTTGAAAATGTTTAAGCATCTGTTAGGTAGTATTTTATGACACCCTGAAACAATCTTAGTGTCTTGGACAGGCTCTCACTGTAATTGTAGTATTGTATAATGTACATTGATATATTACTTAGAAAAATAATCTCCATGCCCACATAAGTTCATATTTAAACAAAAACTTGTCTGAAATAGTACATAATTTTCATTTGATTTAGAAAAAATCCACTCAGATGTATAATTGAAGGAATACAAACAAAATATCCCTGTTCTTAAAAGTGATGTTTTTGAATATAACCCAGATCCATTATCCAAATAATGGGTAAATTTATCCAAAAATACTATACTGTATATTAAATAACTTGCCATTTTTTTTTTTTTATAAATCTTGAGGGAAAAAAAATATGCAGGTTTTTAAAGTCTTACTAATTTGGTATGTTCACATTTATATTGAATTCAACTAAGTATATAGAGTAAACAATTTATCAGCGTAGAAGTTGATGATTTTGAATAAATGTTGGGGAATTTCAAAATATTAACTCTATATAGTATCATGTGTTATTATTCCTGGAAGACTGCATTAGGAATCTTTCAAGCATTAGTTGCTCTAGCATAAAAATTCAATGGGGTGGTTGATTTACAATAACCTGGCAACCACCACTGGGGGACATGGAATAATTAAACGATAAAACTAAATTACTAATAAGCACGAAATGTTTATATTAAAAACAAAAAGCTATTGCAGTCTTTACATGTACAGTAATTAGCATGATTGTATGTGTTGTCTGCTGTTGCTATGGCACGATCTGGTGCGCGGTGCTCTATTTGTAACTAGCTAGCTGCTCAGGCTAGGCCGCTGGAAGTTCCCCAGTGAGTTGTGAGACGTTGGCAGCGCTGTTTGGAAATAATCCCGATAAAATGGTCTGTAGCAAAATCCTGACAAATGACAGTGAAACCCCCTGGGAAATTATTTTTTTAAAGTGTTCTGGGGTGAAAAAAAAATCATCCCATTATTGCCAAAACATGGGCTTGGCTTCCGATGGGTTAGGACGGCTCATGTGACACTATGGTTTTACAGAATCCACAATAATACTCCTATAGCTCGTAAGGCTATTAAGTACATAACATATGATGATACTATAGAACAAAGACATTTCACTCATATAGTTTGTATATTGATAAATATTTGGGTCTTTTTTTCTAATAAATCTATGATTTATTTAATGTGAAATAAATATTGCTAAATACGAAGTGCATGTGTTATTTTTTGTCGCTTTATTCTCAAATATTATCAATCTTAATCAATATTTGGAGTGTGTGTAACCAATAGATTTGATTACCAATGCTCCCTAGCTGTGACATTCCTGTGTTTTTAGTACAATTTTCACCTGTTTGTTGGTTAGTGATGAAGCTAAACCAAACCTGGTTAGGCCATACTTGCGACTGATTGCTTGGATGGTTAACAGATTTTCGTCTGGTAGGAAAGAAGAATCACAATAAGCCTACACCAGTGGCGGTGCCGGAAATTCCCTGAAGAGCTCCACTGTGGTTGGTGCAAATGAAAAATATGACCACCTCTATATACCTGGAAATTGGCTTTCCCCCCTCAAAACTTGGCGCAGTCTACTCTACATGTTCCTTTTCAAGTTGTGTGCGCCAGTTATTGCATCTACTATTTTTGTCTCTGACCCAATTGCAAAGTACTGTATGCATTTTACTAATATTCAGCATAATAATACAGTATTAATAAATCCTACATAAAACAAATGCACTCCTGACTACTTTTTAATTATTCAAGATTCTCCAAATACATTTGATTTGTTTTTTACAAAATACCTTGTATTTTACAGAATTAATATTACGCTTTTTCATTGGTCCATAACTGACATTATATTTCAATGGAATTTTCAAAATGAAACATACAAAACAAGAAAAATAATTGATTCCCAGATAATACTAGCTGTAACCACCAAAATGGCAATAACCGCTGTAACCATCAAAATGGCAATAACCGCTTATCGTTTATGTAACCATGGTATAATCACCCATTAACACTAAACATAAACGGAAAACAAATTATGAAATCGCAACAATATACAGTATTTACATTAAAAAAAAGACAGAAAACATGTACATGAAACCATTGATGTTCACCCCTCTCTAACCAGTTGCTATGATGATGCAACAACGCAGACCACTCAATCTTGCAATGTGAATCTGGCTGACCTAGCTCCAAAAGTGTCGGTAGGCCTACTGCACTTTCATCACCAAGCTTAAAATAAGCATCCCATCAGCTTATCCAATTTCCATCAGCAACATGGTGTGTTTTGGTCGTATTTTCCATGCTTTTTTCCCTTCAAATTTTTGGTTTTGTTTCTTGGTCTGTAACTTTGCGGATGAAGATTGCATCCTCTGGATGATCAATATCACCACTCTCATACATGTACGATGAAGCGATTGCCAATATAGTACCATCATGACTAAACAAAATTATAATTACAGTATTATTTATTAAATCTTCCTTCAAATGTACAAGATGTTTAATATATTATTTTTTTTTTTTTGCAACCACTTATTGCCATTCAAAAAAATCAAAAATAAATTTCAAATTGATATTTGAAGGAACAAGTTCTAACTAATTAAAATACATCTTCAAGCCTGGTTTCCATAAAATAGCTACATGCTATCGCCGACTCCCTTGGCGATGCTGATTGGTCAGATGAATCGGGGAGCGTTCCCGATTGTGTCAGGGACAGCTACGCAGTGCAAGGAATGCAGTGTAAACGCTGTAGTGACTGTGTAGCGATTCTATGGAAACTCAGCTCTACATCCAATTACACTTGTCAAAGTTTAGGTGCTACGATGCTCTATAAACTCTCATGCTTCACTAGGCTTTGGGAGTCTCACAGGATTTGAACCTAGGACCCTGGGATTAGAAGGCAAACATTATCGATAAAATTCTTAATTTGCATACCTGAATGCGAGGTAGGATATACTAGTGGGATATCTGTGGAACTGACACAAACGTTTCTTGTTAAATCCGTCCCATATATTGACGAATCCATCAGAGCCGCCACTTGCGAATGTGTTGTGCACGTTATGGAAGGCGATGGCGTTGACAGGGTAAATCTCCTCCTTACCTTCATTCTGTAATGACAAAACCGTTTTTATTTTCAACCACTTACAAATTTTTTAAAATAGCATAAAATTAATAGCATATAGTAATTTGCATAATCACACAGGTACCAACATTAACATGCTTTGCCTTCTTAATCATCCTGCATTCTGCCACATTTCAAATTAATTAACAGAGGACTTGAATTTACAACCTTCATCACTACATTCAACTACATCATAAAGCATACCATAGACAAAAACAATACCCTAAGTCTCCTACCCTGGGGTGGCAATACCCTCCTAATAAGGCTAATTAGAATTTAAAGGAACAAACCTTCAATCTGTGACATTTAAATGCATATTTTTTCTTCTGTATCTCCGGGCTTGGATCCAGGTATTCAACAGCGACTCTGCCCTCTATACTACTTAGTACATATCCATGTTTATTTGGGAAAGAACGAATACAGCGGGTCTGGTACTTAAGGCTTGATTCTCGTCTCTGTTGTACATAGCCCATGTTCCGGAGATCCCACACAAGGACTTTCCTACCTGCCGTTCCAACAATGAGTCTTTCTCCAGAAACAGCCATTGTATACACCTGTAAAATAAATTGAATCTTTCAATAGCTTATAACTCATAATTTATGTGTTATAAATTATTTCATAATTCAAATTACACAGAGCAGGCAGTCAACAGATGCTTTTTAAGATCAAGAAACTGCAACTTGATTTCTTAGGCCACTGTATGAGAAAGGGAAAATTAGATTATTTATTTCTCACGGGGAAGATGGAAGGAGGAGAGATATAGGGTGAAGGGGATATAGAGATCGCCAGAGAGTAAATTTTCAAGGTATTGTTGAGAATGGCCAAGGAAAGGAAAGTTTTGCATTCCATGGTTGCCAATAACACTGTATATGGCACAGAGAGAGAGAGAGAGAGAGAGATATAAGCTATGCACTGTAGACTTTTGAAACCTATTGGTTGATATAAATTTTACATAATGGCAGGGGTGGTGACAGCAGTTGGGCTATACTGGCCGAAGCCCAGCCGTCGGGAAGGCACAGTAAAATCTGTCAGGGAAAAATAGAACGTGGTGGGGCTAAGGTAAGTGTAAACTCCGGCCAATCTGTTGGGAACGATGAACTACCTGTAGGGGAAAAGCTGGCATCACCCCTGCATGATAGTGAGACTTAAAAGGAGAAATATTAATATATAATTAATATCATCATATATTTTTTAAGGGCTACCTTGTCTGGTTGTGAGAATGATCCAGCGTTGCATGGCGTCCTTGGATCCCAGAGCTTGACGGTCTGATCCCAGCTACCGGTGATTATTACATTCACATCGGAACAATACTCTACACATTTTATGGCACCCTCATGACTACCAACAGTGATCTCTGACATAGACATGAATTTGACCATAAGAAATATTATGACTAAAAGTATCAATGGAATAGGTATATAATAATGGCAAATATATTTATCTGGTTCCATAAGTATAGTAGAAAAATTACTAATTGGTTCAACAAAACAGATAATTTTTATTATCATCTGAAAATAGTTATACTTTTTGTAATTTGAAATTAAAAGTGATTAACATTTAAAAGCACCTGACAAAGTTCCATTTGGTATTGTAGTTAATTGATGAGTTTTCGTGCAATAATGTGTAACAAAAATATATACTGTAACAATGATAATGTAAAACTAAACGTTATTAAATTGAATTAGTTTATGGTTATCGGCACCTTACCTGAGCTTGTATTAACATCAAACACCTTTAATTGCTTGTCTAAACCACCACTGTATGTGTGAGTACCATCCTAAGTGAAAAAATATGTTAATTGTTTAGTCAAAATTTAAACCAGAACTCTGCGAGGGCTAATGTTCCTATGCAGTCATTTTGGTGAAATATTGCACTATTTGTAATGACAACTACTACACTGTACTACTAGGTCGGTCACAGCCGAGCCCTAGCGCGCATCCATCCTCCATTCGTCACGGTTCCGCATCTGTCTCTTCTATTCCAGAATCTTTCTTCAGTAATTTCATGTTAGTTTTTGTCTGCCTCTGCCCCTTCTACCATGTGTGGGTTCCCAGAGAATAAGCTAGCAGAACCGGAAGTTCTGGATGACAATAAAAGTGTCCAGCCTGGATAGTGTCATTCGCCTCTATGCAATCTTGTCCCCGACCTTTGGTAGGGCCCCATACGGTAGGCTGTTTGTGATTCTATCACGCCAACTGATGTTAAGGGCAGCTCATAGCATCCGGGTGTACGTACCATTTAATGATTTCTCCAGGACAGGTGTTGCAGTCCAAGAATTGCACAGCCATATAATAAAACTGATTCAACTGTAGAAGATACTTAGCTTGTAATGATGTAAGTAGAAATAAGGAAACAAACAAAATGGATCCTGGACTTTTCTTTAAAGAGAACTCAAAATGTATATCTTTAATGTCCTCTAACCTAAAGCGATTAGTCGTTGAATTTTTCGTACATTCACTTGAGTTCAATTATCCTTTGGAGAGGTCAACAAATGGACTTGGTTTCTATCAACACAGACATTCAATAAGCCACTTATATAATGCTAGATTATTGAGCGTTTTGGATTGAGGGGAGTGATAAAGTTTTAAACAACAGAGCACAATCACATGACCAATACTATACAGTATGTATAAAAAATTCATAACCAACAGGTGTTTGGAAGTTCAAGTTTGCTTTTTTACAAACTTTTGACAAATTTGATGATTACAGACGTACATGGACGTACACACGCACATGCATGGAAAATTGCAATGGTTCTTATTGCTTTAGTACTGTACAGCATAACAACCAAAAACAATTTTTCACTTATTCATAAAACACTTGGCAATTAAGAACATTAATAGTTTTATTTTGGTTTTTTAATGTTGCAAAATAACTATAAAAAAAAAACACAAAAAAACAAATCACTGTAAGTTTAAGCATACTGATGGTTTTCCATTGATAATAGACAGAATATTTGTTATGTATACTGTAACAGAATTGTTTAGGACTTACATAAAAACAGCAGTCCAAAACAGCCTGAGAATGGGTATACTTTGTACGTAGTAGGTTTGATTGGACATCATATAGCCGGACAGTCTCATCCCACGATGATACCAGGAGGAATTGTGATGATGTTGGACTAAATTTGGCAGCCGAGATACCATCATCAGGACACTGGTTCAACTTAAACTCATTTGATGTTTCTGCCATTATATTTAATCCCAAATGATACCTGAGAATTCAAATGTATCAGAGTATAAGAAATGCAGTACAGTAGTTTGTAATCCAATGCATTTTATATGGTCTTATGAAATAATCGGGTAACAGTTTTTGTACGGTCGGATGCGAAACCGTATTACCATACTATTAGCACCAACAAACTTACTCTTAATCAGCTACCTTTTCATACATTTTTAATTCTACTCAGATATCTATATTTACTGTATATTATAATGTCTATTTTATATATAATTATTTTTATTTAGTATTAATTTTAAGTATGTTTTAGTGCAATCTGTCTTTCAATGTTACTTCACAACTTAAAAAATAGAATTTTATACTACTTTTTGTGTTTTATGACAATAAAGGAAGGTCAAGGATTTTGTTCCGACAACTTTATGAAATCGAGGGCTGATTGGTGGAGCTGATTCGAACCTTAAACTTGACTAGGCCTAGCCTATACAGTAAGCTAGGCCTACTAGGCCTCATGAGTGATATTAAAAGTAGGCCCTAAGCCTACTGTAGGCTAATCTGAATCATATTAGGCTATTCATATTCAATAACAGATTTGTTAAAACCCATATTACTGTAAAGTTTATATTTGCGTGGAGGATATCTCAAAAATCAGCTCAAAGTTACACGGAAAATCGATAGGAAAATAGATGCGTGGAATCATAATTGCTGCATAATTAATTGTATTGGTTACATATTAAGATACGCCGTGGCTAGAGATACGGTACCGTATCGGAACTTCCGATTGCTAAAGGTACGGTAAATGATATTACCTCATGATTAGCCAATAGAAATGACCGACGCGATTTTGGCTTTTTTGCAATGTCGACGTCGCTATCATGAGAAACGTGTGGTGCAAACAGTTACGATCAAATTTATGTCATAAAACTTTAGGCCCATTTCATGTATTTCGATTGGGGCTTATCGCAACGTTTGAGATAAAAATCCTTTCTGTTGTTATCTTGCGTATTTTATGGTCTACCAATGTTCTCCTAAGGCTAGGCCTAGGGCCTAGCCTGAATACCCGCCTAGGGGCCTATTATAGGCGTACTACTAGGCTAGGCTTAGGCCTACTGTAGTGCTACTACAAAGTGTAGAGTCGTTGCGGCCCTGAGTCGATTCAGCCCCGAGTTGTTATTTTTGTCATGCATTTCGGCAGCGGTGCATGGAGCGCCAAAGGTGCGGCCACGAATAATATTTTAATCAAACAAGGTGGCTAAGCAGTATACCGTTTGTTAAACATGAAACTTAGGCTATATTACTGCAACATTATCAGATATTAACAATTCTTTTTAGTAGTATTTTTATTATTATTATTATTATCAATTATTATTAAAGTGTTCATTGCAGTATCAAATGATGTTCTTTCTTTTTACAGAAACAACACAAATGTTGCAAGTCGATTGGTTTGGTCGAGACACGTTTCTTTTTATCGTTTCCATACAAAATATATATTTGGATCATGTTTATAAATGCTTCAATAAAATTTAGATTTATAAAATAAGTAGGCTTATAGTTAATTTAGTTTGTCATAAGTTTTTTTTTTTTTTGCATCTCCATTTACATTACCAAATGCTCTATTTATAACAATACATAGGCCAATATAAAATAAATTAAAATATATTGAATGATGTGATAATGAAAATAAAGCAAATATATTATTGTATTCATAAGACCGACAAAATCACTCATTGCTTAGAAATTAACTAAAGAAATGATTAACTACAGTATAATTTGAGGAAAGGACGTTTTCAACGATTATGTTCAGGCACATGGTTTGTATATTCTTGTTTGTTGTATTTACATTGTCGATACATATTTTGATTAGGCATGTTTATAGAATACACAAATAAATGGAAATAGTAAAATGTATAGTTTAAATAAAATGTATAGGCCTACAATGTTAATGGCTGTTTCAGGCTTCTTTTGATTTAAGTAAGCTGGAAATTTCACTCACAAGGCCTACGGTATTGTTGCATGGAAACTAACTATAAAAATCGGAAAGAAACGCCCACAAAAAGGTTCCCAGTACTCTTCAGGTTGAAGCAGACATCCTTTGTACGCCGTCTTCAGGAACTGCAAAGTATAGTTCAGAGGATAAGATTAAACTGGCTATTTTTAGGTGCCCACACATGCCATGCATGGAGTTATAAAATTAAGTCAAAATAATTATAACTCCATGTGCCATGGCAGTGAATGTGTACGCATGTGTTCACCTCTCGTCTATGGTTCCGATAAAAAAAAAAAATTATTCAACTTTGTTTAAGCTTTAATATTTCATTTACCGTATATGGACAGGGCCCCTGCCGGCAGGAGCCGATCATGAGATGTCTGACAGGGGAACCGAAAATGGGGCCGATCGAAATAACATCGCCTTAAGGGGATGTCCGCGAAATATTTGTTTTCTAGACAGACGCAACCTCTGAGGCATTTTGGGCGATCAATTTTTCCCCCTTTTTAACTTCCTATTAAATTAAATTCATAGCCAGGTTTCAACTAGGGTGAGGGCCTAAGATAGGCAGTAACAACAAGGAAAGGTCAGACAAAAGGCCTAGATGTTCAGGCAGGCCTATCCTACCTAGGCATAGCTAGTTTAGGTATAATAGGCCGGCCTACTACTCTCTAGCTAGGCCCTCCAGCTTCGCTAGGTTTCAGCTAAGGCCTACTACTAGAAGACACTAGCCTAGGCCCTCAGCTGAGCCTTAGGTCTACAGTAGGCTCAGACAGGCAGTCAGTCTGTCTGGGTTATAACTTCTTTAAAACGTACTTTTTATAGTACAACTAATTTTCAAAATTTATATTGTAACATTAGAACCTGATCATAAATGATAAGTTGTGCACATATCATCTAGGCCTATTCCTAGACCCTATATAGGCCTAGGCCCCTAGACCTCGGCACGGTACCGTTACCAGCCCTGTTCATTCAACTAATGCGTGGGTATTGCCTGGCCTGGATGCCCTAGCTAGGCCTAGGCCACGGCCGGCTAGACCCTAGGCCTTTTAAATAGGTTCTAATTCGTCATGTTCATGCTAAAAAAGAACAATTTATCCTACGTTTCTTAGGAGATAAGCATATATAAACTTACTTAGAGCACACAGAAACAGGATTTCAATTCAGTATTTTATGGATATTTTAAAGTAATTCGACCAATCCAATTTTCAAAATTCGTAAATTTAGCGAGGCCGCGATCATCTACCGCCACCAACGGTAGACGATAGAGTTTCTTATAGAGAGACGTCAAGTGAGTTAAAATATTTGGGACCTTTATATTTAAAAGAATGTTTAAAAAGTTCGCATTGAGGTCTTGGAACGACAAGGTTCCCCCCCCCCCCCCCCCC